GAATTGGTGTATAGTACTCTTCATTCAGTAGGTAGTAATTCAGTAAGTAGTTGGAATTTGGCCAGGCCATTCAGAGTGATCCTCCCACCCTTTGAAATAGTGTGGAGTTGAGTTCTTTTGTGATCACAGATAATCAGAACGTTGGATTTAACCTATTGAGAATGCTGGCCTGGGTACTTCTGATTGTGCAGTGTTGCTGTGGTGGTTTGAATGAAAATGTCCCCCATAGGCTCCAAGTGTTTGGACATTTTGTCGCCAGATGATGGCGCTGTTTTGGGAGGTTTTAGAAGGTGTGGCTATCCTGGAGGAAGCATGTCACTGGGGGTGGGCTTAGAGAGTTCTTAAGCCTTGCCAGATCTCCAGTCTTGCTTCCTGTGCCTACGTGATGATGTGAGAGCTTAGCTTCCACTCCTTCTCCAGCCACCTCTGCTGCCATGCCAAGATGGACTGTAATTCCCCTGGAACCATAAGCTCAAATAAACTTTTCCTTCTATACATTGCTTGGGTCAGTGTTTCTGTCATAGCAACAGAAAAGTGACTAATACAGTTGCTTGCTTAGTTTTTTTCCTGTAGTCCTAGTTCAGATCTGATTCAGCAAGCAGATAAATCACAGAAGCACTACCTACACTGCTTGTATTTTCCCTAAAGGTGTATTGTGATTACTTGCTTACCCTGTTCTTGTTTGAGTTATAAAATCTGACAGAAGTCATAGTTTAGGATCTGCTGCAGGCTAGCCGTAAAAACATTACTTTCAATGTACTGTATCTAACTACTGCTTCTAAACCATCTTTCTTGATAACCTACTTCAGTCAGAGTGTAAAATTTCTTAGAGTTCTCTTCTCTCTCAGCTAGTGCTCTGTGCTTTCAGTTTCCCAAACTTCATTTGGTGCTGTTAGTTTTTATTCCCTTTTGCCTATCACTTCACCCTCCATTGGTGACATGTGAAGTGAGAATGTGTAAAATGAACTGGCTTGCTCAGCCTACTCCCTGTTTTCACTTACTCTTGTGTATTCCAGAGCCTTGTGTAGGCCTTGGCATAGTGCCCCAGTATAGAGTAACACCAGAGGAAAGCAGACTGAAAGAGAAAGCCAATGATGCAGCAGTGAAGAGGCAGAAAATGATAGATAGGGAACTGGGGACTGGATTGATGAAGGGGAACGTGGAGGTGGAAGAGTGCAAATAGGCAAACATTTTTAGAACTGCGGGGATAAATATTAAACATAGCTACGAGGAAAAGTGGTTCAATTGATGCATTAAAGTCTCTTAAAAATGCTGTTTTTCTACAGGATTGCTTATATTATCTCCATGGAGAATAGCTTTGAAGAGGAAAGATGTATGTGATATCAGTGGTATATAAATGACACTTGTATGTAAATGACGCTTCTACGTGCTCCAGCTGTTTTTCAGATTAGAAAGTGTGAGCCATCATTTTAACCTTATTGACATCATCTGTTTGCTTAGCACTTTATTCTTTCCAATAAAAGGAAGACAAGCCTCAGCTCAGCATCTTTTGATTTATTGTAAATTGTAAATTAGCTATAGCTTTATTAATGAGACTAACATATTGCCCCAGTTTCATGTTGGTGAGATGAAAAAGTACATATGCATATATCTTGAGTATTGCTGTAGTTTAAATCTTAAATTCCCCCAAAGGCTTGTTGTATGTGGGAGTTTTGGTCCCCAGGGAGACAGTACTGGGGAGGTGGGAAAAGCTTTAGGAGGTGGGGTCCAGTGAGAGGGCTTTAGATTTTCGGGGGCAATACTCAGGATTCTTGAACCCGGCTCCTTCTGTTTTCTTTCTCTTTGCTCCTTGGTAGTAAGGGAAGCAGGTTTTCTCTGCCACACTCTTAATGATGTGCTGCTTTGCTTTGGTCAGATTGATCATAGACTAAAACCTCCTAAGTTACCAGCTGAGATAAACTTTTCTTATAAATTGACTAAGTTGTCTCGTCTGTTACAGTGATAGAAAACTGACTAGCACACATTATATAGCCTTCAACACTTGTTTAGTCGGAGTTTTTTTTTTTTTAAAGAAAGAGATCATACATGTTTTTGATGAGTTTAACAATAACAGTCTAGAGAATTTAAAAGCAATAATAATACACCTGAAGTTGCTTCATATACTACAAATTTATGAAGTAAAGCTCGGAGTCCTACATAGGTATTTATAGTTGATCTCTTGGTTTTAATCCTTAGTGCTTGGCAGTTCATGGTTACTGAAGATGGTGAAAAACAAGAATAATCACAGGCTGTTGTTGAAGTGGTTGTGGTGTGAGACATGGTAGTGACCAGAGTGAATGGGAAGTCAAGACACAATGGGAGTAATAAATAAATTCGTAAGGAAAGAAGAGTTACAACAATAGAGCTTTGAGATTTTGGAGGTAGAAGCTTATTTACTTGATTTGGTTTGGTTTTGCTTTGAGTGATAGGAATTGAGCCCAGGGCTCCACACCTGCTAAGCAGGCACTTTATCACTGAGCTACACCCAGTTCAGTGTAAGAATTTTGAATGACAACCTGAGGGATTACTGTAGTAATAAGCAAGATCTGAAACTTTCAGTACCCAAGTTTGACTTGTTTTGTGTTTTATTTTGGTTTTTCATGGGGGGGGGCGCTGTTTGTTTATTTGCAGTACAAAGAATTTAAACCAGAGCCTTGCACATGCTGGAAACTGTTCTGTCACTAAGCTACACACCCCAGTCCTTAAGTCTGTTGATCAGGATCCCTATAAAAATATCTATTCTCTTACAGTGCCTCTTTTTTTTTCCCTGTTTAATTTGGGATATAATAAATGGGAGAAGCTGGGGATATGGTTGATGAGTTGGTAGAACCCTGGGTTCAATCCACACATACACCTCTATAGGGCAGCTAGTTACATAGACAGATGATATTGTAACCTGAGGTATACGGTCCTCACTGTCTCTACAAAATACAGACTATAGGATTTCCTTGGTCCCTTTCATCTCTAAAATTCTGATTGTACAAATACTTTTTTCTGTCCTCTGCCTTTAGCAAATTCTTCCTTTCTGTATTAGTTACTTTTCTGTTACTGTGATGGAAACACCGACCGAAGCAACTTATAGAAGGAAGAGGTTATTTGAACTTACAGCTCCAGGGGAATTATAATCCGTCATGTCATGAAGGTATGGTGGCAGGAAGTGGCATTTGGCTCACAGGCACCTTTAACTCCAATTCCAGAGCATCCTGGATGCCCTCCTGGACTCCAAGGACACCTGCATTCACACATGCACGCGCACGCGCGCGCGCGCACACACACACACAGTTTAAATAATTAACAAATATTTAGACTTCCAGGCAGCTGGAGCTACAGGGAGACCCTGTCTCAAAAAGACAAAAGAAAAGAAAATTACTTTGAAGAAGCTATGTATCTGCTCTTGATGATTCATCTTTAATCAGTAGTATTTTTGTTGAAGCATGAATAAAAATTAACTTTTTGAGTAGCATATCTGAGAAGAAAACATTTAATACATACAGAATGAGCCAGGTATGATGGAACACACCCAGCACTTAGATAGAAGCAGGAGGATTGGGAATTCAAGATCATGTTTGCTTACATGATGAGTTCAAGGCCTGCCTGGGTTATATGAGACCTTGTCTGAAAGGAAAAAAAAAAGTAGGAGCTGGGGAGATGGCTCAGCAGTTAAGAGCACTGGCTACTCTTGCAGAGGACCCAAGTTCAATTTTCAGCACCTACATGGCAGCTCACAACCATCTGTAACTCCACTTCCAGGGAAATCTGGTGCCCTCTTCTGACCTCCACAGGCATTGCACAGCACTGGTACACTTAGATACCTGCAGGCAACACACACATACACATCAATTTTTTTTTAAGTATTCATGCACACACCTATAGGATGTCCTTGCATTGGAGTATTGCTTGCTGGCTTTATTGTGTGTTGTTGATAGATGGTGTATTAGTCAAGGTTCTCTAGAGGAACAGAACTGATAGAATAAGTATATATATATATATATATATATATGTTAAAACAAGACTGGGACTAGAGAGATGGCTCGGTGGTTAAGAACACTTGCATTTCTTCCAGAGGACCCAGGTTTGGTTTCCAGCACCCATGTTGGATGACTCACAGTCACCTTTAACTCCATCTTCTGGGGAATCCAACACCCTCTTCTGGTCTCTGCACACATACACACCCAGACACATATGTGTACATATAAATAAGTAATCTTTTAAAAAGGGGGTGATTATTAGCTAGTCTTACACCATCTGGGTAGTCCCACAGTTGCTCTCCTCACCCTGGAGAGGCTGAGAACCCAGTAGCTGGTCAGTCCATGATACTGAATGCCATAGGAGTCCCAACCTGGCTCTGAAGGCCTGGAGGATTCTTGGAGAGCTACTGATCTTCAGTCCATGTTGGAAGCCTGGAAGAGGCTGGATTCCAGTATCCATGAAGGATCGCTATAGCAGTAATAGCAGCAGAGGTCTGTGCAGCAGTAGGGTAGGTGACCTCAGCAGCAAAGTGCAAAGGCAGTTAGGCACAAAGCAAAGCTTATTCCCAAGACTACCTTTTGTCTGGCTGCCACCCACATTTAGTGTGAGTCTCCCACTGCATATAGCCTGGTAAAGAAGATCCCATATAGCTGTGCCCAGTGGCTTACTTTTAGTTGATTCCAGATCCAGTCAAGTTGACAACCACATTTAACCATCGTAAGTGGTGAAGTACATCCCCCTCCTACCCCACTTCATTGTACTCAGTGTACAGCATTATAAATGGTTTCATTGTTCAGTTTTGTTTCAGAACCATCACTGCTTTTCTGAATGTGGTTACAGTAGCTCTATGATGAATTAGTACTTAACAGATTACATTAACTTTCCTTAATCAAAACCTGTATTTCCAGTTCTGTAATTATCAAAATGGTGTGTGTGGCTCGTTCTTAGTTCCTAAATGGAAGAAATTTTGCTATCATCAGATTCATTCTCTAAATTGCAGTTAATTAATATGTTCGTTCTCCTTTCCTTAGGTGCGCTTTGTAAAGAATATAACTTCCTGGAAAGAAATGAAACCAGGGTTTTATCATGGACACATTTCTTATTTGGATTTTGCAAAGTAAGTACTATGCAGAATGGCACAATGAAGAATGCTTTGTATGTCGGTAACCTAAGACAGAATGAATTCAGCAAATTGTTAGGATTTCAATCTTTTTTTAAAGTATGTAGACCACTTTCAGCTCTGTAATTTAAATAATTCCATCCAGTACTTTACTGCCCTCTAGTGTTCAGAAATTGGCAGTTCGCATGCTAATTACAGACATTCAAGTTATATATTAAATTTAGATAAAATTCGTTTGTTATATTATTATATGAATATTGCTTATAAACAGAAGCAAACTATTCCAGGAGGTCTCAAGCTTGAACCTAATTAATCAGATTATGACTTCCCACACCATTCACAGAACCAAGAAAGCCAAGAAGGGCTTGCTCAATTTGTTCTGTTATTTAAAATTGTGAGGTATTAGGGGAGAGTTCTGAAAACCTAATGATTTTCTTTAATGTTTGAATTTGAATGTGACTATGTAAATCAGGGTAATTCTGTCATAATTCTCTAAAGAAAAGTTCAGAAGACTACAGGGCTAAAAACAATATTCCAGCATTATGTGGCCCCCTCTAGACTCTTCGCCACATTAAGGACTAATCAGAAAATTGGTTAAAAGGTATGGTCCTAACATATGATCCGTTTGAATTTGCTTTGTAGACCACATGGTGTTATTATAATAAAATCTCAAATCCACATGTTCCACTAATATTCTATATTAACTTCAGAAACATTTTTTAAAAATTACTAAGTATAGACATTTTCATTTAGTTTTTAAATTAGCAGTCATGATTTATGGGAATTTGTGTGCATCTGTTTGTCAACTCTCAGAAGCATTCTATGTAAAATTTAAAATGAAAATGGCATCTCCCCTTCAGTTTAACTTCTTTGGGGGAGCAGGGGTTGTGAGGGTTGAGACAGGATTCCTGTACCTCCAGCTGGCCTGGAACTCACTGTGTAAACCAGATTTGCCTCAGTCGTACAGAGATCTGCCTCCCGAGTGCTGGATTTTAAAGGCGTCTGACACCATGCTTGGCTCAGTTTAACTTCTTAAATTTGAAAAAGAATAGAATGATATATCACTGATTCAGATATATGTATGAATGAATGAAATCTTTTTTGGAAATTCTATAATTAAAAAAAGAATTGCCCAAATATTACATATGTAACATAATATATTCTTTTTCTGATTTTTTTTTCACAATACTCAAGCTTTTTCAATAAAAGTGTAACTTTAAAGTTAGATGTTCGTTTTTCTATAAATAATTCATGTTGCAATATTGAATGCATTTTATAGGCAACTTTAAAATAAACTAATTATTTTCTTCGCAGAGGCATTGAACCAGTTTCATAAACTTCATTCATATGCATATTTTCCCTGAGGGCTGCGTTATCCTTGAATTGAATGTTTGTTACCCTTTCGCCTAAATGATTAATTTTTTTCTATGCACAGCCTTGTTTCTGATGCTTTAGATTTTCGTTATTAAAATTATATTATTGAGTGTTTTTGCTTTTGGCAAAGTCTTGTACATAGAGCAAAGCTCTAGTAGATCTGCTGAGGTACTTGTAACTTGAAAAGTATAAAGATTTTTGAAAAGAATAATCTTATTAAATACTAACGTCAACATTGGGTTTGAAATTTTTCATAGTGTGTTTATGTTATTGGAAATAAGAAATGTATTGTGGAAAATTTTAGTAGATCTTAACAGAATTTTAAATAAATTATGTACACACAATCAGTTAGAGAAGTGCGTTTAATGTATTTGAACATGTATAGTCAGGAACTTCTGTCATTTAGCTCCATAGCCATAGATTCCATGATTAAGGAAAGGAACATTCACCAGTTCTGAAGAACTTTATTCTTCAAAACATATTCTTGAGCTGAGAATGGTGTTGTACACCTATAATCCTAGATTCTTTGGAGACTGATACAGGAGGCTCACAGGTTTGATGCCAGCCCAGGCGACTTAGTGAGACTCTGTCTTGAAATTTAAGAGTGAGGGATTAGAACGATGACTCAGTGGGGAAGCACCATCCTCACAGTCATGAAGACCTGAGTTGAATCCACAGAAGCTACACACAAACACAAGGATCTATAATCCTTGGAAGTTCACAGGCTAGCTAGCCTGCAGGCAGCAGTGGTGTGTATCTCTGTTAAGCAAGGTGGAAAGAGAAGACTGACACCCAAGATTATCATGATGTCCACATGCACATTGTAGTACGCTCACCCCTGTATGCATACACATGCACTGTATGTATACACAGAAATAAATAACTTGTACTAAAAACAAAAGGTCTGGGGATGTGGTTCAGTAGTAAAATACTTGCCAACTTATGAGAGAAGCTCAGACTTTAATTTCCAGTACTACGAAAAAATAAAATTGGAAAGAAACAAAAACAAAATCCTCTATTATTGGCTGGCAGAGTTCATTGTAGACTTCCTTAAATTACTTGCTTTCAGAGGAAAGAAGATTCGTGGAAAAACAGTATTTGATCACAAAATTTTTTCAGTTTACTGAACAGAGATAATAAAATGTTGAAGCATATTTTGGTTTCCTGGCACCCAGGGAGAAAAGTTAAGGCAAACCTTGTTGGCCTTGTCTCAGCCATCTGCACTGTGTGGCCCACGTGCCATTTTTATCCATTTTCTGTTCTAATCCCTTGCCTCCAGCCCTTTATGTCTATATAACCATTCTGCAATTTCAAGTAATAATCTACTTCTCATTTCAGAATGAGTTCACAGATTATCTCAATAAAATCATGCTTCATACATAATAAATACCACTGAAATGTCCACAGACAGCAGTTTGCTAAACATTAGGAAGTTTTGAAATGTGCTGCTTCTCTGATCCTTTTGTCCAGGAAGAAAAGGAAAAGTGGAAATCTTGGAAGAGGTTCCAGGAGGAGATAACTCCCACGGGACTTGCCCATTAACAGCTAATGAGAATGTGAGGGTTTCCAGAGAACCCCACAGTCTGAAGAATGAAATCATTGCCCTGTCAGCTAAGGCAGTGTGTAGCACATAAACCCAGTGCCTCTCTGCTCTACTTCTGGGTGCTCTTTCCCACAGAGCAGAGTTTGTAAGTGGCTAGCTCACAGTTCATCCAGCTTAGTTTAGCTAATAGCTACCACCTTTGTGCTTGGCTGAGTGTGCAGCACTTGTGATAAAGTCCTTTACAAAAGAAGATCAGTTTAGCTCTGATGTAGCTTCTCCCAATACCTTCTCAGTGTTGCATGTTTGCAATCTTACTGTTTTCCTCTTAAAAATTGCAAAAGAAATTTTGAGTGCATTATGAATGTTCAAATAACTTATAGTGCTTCTAGAGAGAAAGCACTTGCAGGACAAGCCATAGGACAAGTTCAGAGTTGATTTCCTGATCCCAGCAGCTCTAGGAAGTAGGTATCAGATGAAAGCAGATAGCACTGTGTACAGTAGACTTCAGGAAGAATGGCCACAAGACATTGTCCCTGCTCCTCTTCATTCTAAAATAGTAGCCACTTACCTTTGAGAAGACAGATCATTGCCCATCTCTGCTGAAATCCTCCCACAGCCTTCCACACGACTCAAAAATGAATGCTTAGAATGGTCTGTAAAGTTCATCTGGCCAGCCTCACTGCAGGCCCCAGTCTCACTTTTCTTACTGTCCTTTCTGATGCTACATCCAGATATACCTTGCTATTTCACAAAACATCTGGCAATAGAAGATTCAAGGCCTTCATCCTCTGAAGTCCCCTCTTCCCAAAATGCTTTTCCACAGATACCTTCTTACTCTGTAACATCAGTGTTGGTGTTCATGGAAAATGGTTTTTAATTGTGTTCTCTCACCTACCTTGGCATACTCTGTTCCCTTTCACTGCAGTATTTTTTTTCTTTAGTATCTTTTACAGTCTTAGATATTTGCTTACTTAGGTAGTTATTGTCTCTTCCCCCAAGTAAAATGTTAGCTCAAAAAAAGATGCCCTCCCACTCTCGCGCCTACTGCTGTATCTCTACTATCTAGACTAGTGCCTAACATATATTTGGTACACTAAAAGGTCTATAAGGAAGAGTAGGAATGAATGCAGCCTGTGAGGAGGGATAAGTGTGGCATGTGAGGGTGGTAGAAGGGGCAGGCCTGACTGGAGCTGTACCGTGCTGTTTCTTTGAGTAGTTGAAGAAAAAGATTGACGAGGTGGCTCCTAAAATATAAGACAAACCAATGTGAGATGACCAAGGGGAGGAGTTCGGATGGGTTTATTGCCATTGTTATTTTTGAAGTGCTAGCGTTAAATGTGCTAGGCAAATGTGGTTCCACCAAGCTACATCCACAAATCCATGAGTTTAGGTTTAATTTCAACTAATCAGTAAAGTTTATTTCAGATTCTGAAAAGCAAGTGATCCAGAAAATGGTACTTTAAAAACATCAGTTGCCCGGGCATGGTGATGCATGCCTTTAGTCCCAGCACTTGGGAGGCAGAGGGAGGCAGGTCTTTGTGAGTTCAAGGCCAGCCTGTTCTACATAGTGAGTTCAGGTCAGCTGGGACTACTGGGAGACCCTGTCTAAAAAAGACCAAAAAAAAAAGAAAAAGAAAAACCATCAGTTGAGGGGGCTGGAGAGATGGCACTGGCTGCTCTTACAGAGGACCTGGTTTCAATTTCTAGCACCCACATGACAGCTAACAACCGTCTGTAACTCCAGTTCCAGAGGATATGACACCTTCTTCTGACCTCCGTGGGCATTACATGACATGGGTGCACTTACACACATGCAGGCAATACACTCATACACATAAAATTAAAAATAATAAAATAATTTTTAAAGAATCAATTGAGAATTGGTGTGGAAGGTAGACTAAAAGAGCAAGAGAGGCTGGGTATAAGAAAACCAACCAGATTATTGCAGCAATCTAAGCAAAGACTTGGGAAGAGGGAAGTAATAAAGACAGCAAACCAAGCAATTTAGAGGCTGAGGCCCCCACACAGATACATGTAATTTTTCAAGTTTTTTAAATTATAAGAAAAAGAGAAGAGAGACACAGACCAAGAATGAGGAAAGGTCAGATCTGTGAGAAAACTTACAAAAGAAAAATTTAAAAAATAAATCAATGAGGAGCTGGGGCTGTAGGGAGACCCTGTCTCAAAAGAACCAAAGTGTTTCTTTTGTTTTATCTACTAGCTTCATGATTTGAAGTGTTATATCTAAGTATTTGATCCATTCTGAGTTAATTTTGGTATGTGGTAAAGGCTGGTAGTGTGGTTTCTTTGCTCCACATACACGTATCCAGTTTTCTCAGCACCATTTATAGAAGAGACTCCCCTTCCTCCAGTGTGTGTTCTTGCTACCTTTGTCAAAAAGGAGTTGGTGTGAGCTGGGGATATAGCTCAAGGGTAGAGCATTTGCCTTCTATGCTATCCTGAGTTTGATTCCCAGCACCACCACCCCCAAAATTATAAATCTGTAGATTTCTGAATTCTCTCTGCTGCTGCACTCACCTGTCAATCAGTACCATGTTGTTTTAGTTAACGAAGTGTGTAGTGTGTTCTGAAGTCAGGTATTGTGATGTCTCCAGCTTTGAATTTCTCAGGATTATCTTGACTGTATATATCTGATTCATATCTGATTTGTTCCATACAAATGTTTGGGGAGTTTTCTATCTTGAAGAGTGTCATTGGCATTTTGGTAGGGATTGCACTGGATTTGCTTTGGACACTGTGGGCTTTTAATAACTCTCGTCCAATCTGAGAAAATGGGACATTTTTCCTATTTGTGTGTGTGCTCTGCTGGATTTCTTTTCATCAATGTTTTGTAATTTTTGTTGTAGAGGTCATTTGCTTTCTTAGTTAAGTTTATTTTGAGGACCCAAGCATGACGGCACATGTCTAATCCCAGCACTCAAAAGGAAAACTGAAATATGAAGATGGAAAGTTCAAGGTCAGCATGGGCTACATTGCTTCATATGACGATGAGGAACCCAGTGTTGTGTGGGTATTTATTTACACTTGTTATTTCCTTTTGTTGAAGTGATTCTTTATCATTGTGTTGTGGCATTGTCTCTTTTCACAGTGTCACTTGAAGTCTATTTTTCTGGTGCAAGTATATCTCCTCTGACTTGCTCTTGGTCTCTATTTGTGTGGTACTTCTTCCGATTCAGTTTCTTCAATCTTTTCTTATCGGTGAAGTGATTTCCTTATAGGCAGTGTATAACTGAGTGTAGTTTTATTGTTTATTTTTATTTTACATTTTTGCATTGGTTTTTTTGTGTGTCTGCGGCGGTCAGAAGACAGCTGTGGGAGCTGCTTTTCTGTGGGTCCTGGCGATCAAACACAGGTCATCAGGTTTGGTGGCAGGTATTTGTGTCCACTGAGCCATCTCGCTGGCTCAGTTTTTTCATTTTTTGATTGCTGAGTTTATAATTTATAATTTAGATAGGCTTTCGTTATATAATTTTTTTCTGGCTATTTTGAATATTCTTGATCATTTCCTCATTTCTTTTCCGTCTTTCTAGTTTGGCAGTTTTCTGTGTTAATAAGGATTGGTTTTCTTTTCTTTTTCCTTTATGTATCTGCTCTACTAGTAAGTTTTGTTCTATCATGTATTTTCATGGTGGTGTGCCCATCTTTTTGCATCTAGTGTGGTACTCCGGGAAGTGTTTCTTGCAGGCTGGTGATGAATCCCTCGGTTTTTGCTTGTCTTGGGCTGTTTTTCCTTTATTCCTTAAGGATTGCTTTTCTGGGCATAGTGTTCTTAGTTGGCAATTTTTAACTGTTTTTCATTTGAGGACTTTTAATAGTTTATCCCATTCTGTCCTGAAAGTCTGCTGTTAGTCGGATAGGTATTTCCTTATATGCGACATACTGCTTCTGTTCTGCTGTTTTTAGAGTTCAGTGTCTTGTACTTCCATCCGTTTGATAATAATATGCCCTGCAGAGGCTCTCCTAGGGGTTTAGAGCTTCGTGGCCTGCATATCTGTATCTTTTCCAAGATTTAGAAAATCTTCAGCTGTTATTTCATTGAATAGGTTTTCTGTGCATTTTCCTTCTCTTCTCTTTCTGGGACATCCAAAATAAAAACTATTCAATGGATTTGAAACATGCGAAGTCTTCAGTTTACAGCTGCCTTCTCCTCCAGCTTCTCCACCACTTCATTACCACTCCTACTACCTCTGCCGCCTCTTGGTCTTTCTTGGTTAAATGACAAAAGATACATCTTGAAGCTGAAAAATTCTTGTTTGCTCTGGTTGGCAGCTAGCACTCTTAACTGTTTTTTCTCTTACTGAGTTCTTGAACTCCAAGACTTTGGTTCTTTTGTTGTTGTTGTTCTGTTTCTTTAACGAATTTCTGATTTATATCATGAATTATCTCCCAGGTTTCATGGAATTCTTTTTTTATGGTCTCTTGCCTAATCTATTAAGTTTTGAATTCCAATCAGTTAACTCACCAGTTTCCTTTTCCTTAGGGTTTGTTAATGGTTTCCCTTTGACTTACCTACACTGATATTAGTGCATCTGGCACCAGTTTCCCTCCATTAGTTTTGTAGTTAAAGACATTTTCCTGATGATGTGTCCTAAGGTTCTATTTAGTAATCTGTGCTGGTTGGTTCTAGGTGGGTGCGTAAATGTAGTGTCATGTTGCTCTTTCAGTTGTACTCAGTGCTGGTGGTGTCTGTGCAGTGTGTCCTTCGGAAGTGGTGGGATTGCACTATCAGGTGGGGTGCAACTTTCTTAAGAAAGATGGGGCAGGTCCCCTGGCAATCTGGATGTAGTATGTCCGGCTTCACGTATAAGACATCTGTCTGTTTCTACAGGTTACATGATAAGAGGCTACTGGGTGCAGCAAATGTGTCAGCATAGGATGGTGCCCATGAGTTTCTAAGACTGCATGGGATTGAAGTTGTCACAGTGTGCCTGGTGATGGGATGGGGTACCTGACAGTGTCTGAGTGTCACACAGTAGGTCTAGATGAGCTACTATTGATAAGTTCCAAGGGTTACAAAGGCTGCTCAGAGATCAGGTCTGCTTCTCAGGGCCTTCCTGTGCCAATCTTCTGAGAGCAGGCTTCCTGGATGCTTCTTGAATTCCTCAGTAAGCACAGTTACTTCTTAGGTGGGTGGACAGGGCCTTACAGGATCCATACCCCAGGACATCTGCTGGCCAGCCTCTCAGGGCAGGTTGCCTTCTCACCTTCTGAGGTCATGCATAGATATGCACTATAATTTTAAAATTTTTTATTTGCTTTATTGTGTCATAAATATTTCCCAGTCTTCACATATTCAATTTCATTTAAATTAATTCATTCTCTTTCCATATAGGACCAATACATCAGGTGTCTATAATTTCAGTACATGCCTAAATAAAATGAAAGCATTAACTTCACTTTAATTTTGTGCTCTTTCAGATTTGGCGTGAAGAAGAAGCCAATTTATATTAATGTCATAAGGGATCCTATTGAGAGGCTAGTTTCTTACTATTACTTTCTGAGGTTTGGGGATGATTACAGACCAGGATTAAGGAGACGAAAACAAGGAGACAAAAAGGTAATATTTTTGTTTTACAGTTTTCATAGAGATAATGGAAGATGTGGTTTAAGCTTTCTGTTGATTCTAAATGTACTCCTTGTTCATTGTGGACACTTTGGAGACAGCACCAAAATCTACAGAAGCAAAAGTGAGAATTAACCTAGGTGGTGTCTTGTAAGATAGGTAGTTTTTGTAATTTTGAATTTTTTTCTTCTTTTCTAAGAATACATTCTTATTTTATGATAGCCTTGTTGTGCTAGTAACTTTTCTCATTGTTGTTTCAAAATACATGACAAAAACAACTCTTGGAAGGAAGGGCACAGTCTGAGGGTGCAGTGCATGGTGGCAGGGAAGGCGTGGTGGTGGGAGCAAGAGGCAGCTGGTCACTCCACAGTCAGGAAGCAGAGTGACTTGGCCGCTTCCTCGTTCTTACTCAGTCCAGGACCACTGCCCTTGGGATGGTGCTGCACAGGTTCAGGTTGGGTCTTCATACTTCAGTTTCACCCCTCTGGAAAAGCCTCACAGACAGGCAAAGCTTTACCTTCAAGGTGATTCTAAGCTGGCCATCAGGATTAACCATTATCTTATTGATGGATCTCATGTTTTCATACATATTTTGGTTATCTCAGTCTTTTCTTTTTTTGAGGCAGGGTCTCATTATGTAGCCCTGGCTGACCTAGAACTCACTGTGTAGATCAGGCTGGCCTCAAACTGGCAGAGATCTTCCTGCTTCTGCCTCTTGAGTGCTGGAATTAAAGTCGTGTGCCACCACCCCGGTGTAGTTCTTTTAGTCTTAATGATAGCAGTTTACCTTTACTTGTAGTTGTTAGTTTATGGATGGGTTTTGCTACAGCAGCTATTTTTTTGAGGCAAGGAGAGAAAATGGCTCAGCCTAGTATATCCAATTCAGATATCAGTTGCCTTCAGTGCACCTCTGGAGTATCATCTGAGAGGTTTCTCAGAGCCATACTCATTTTTCTCATGTCTGGTGGAACATTTTGGAACACCTTTACTGAGATTTCATTGCTCAGTAAACTACCCAGGAGGGGGCCAAAGAGATGGTTCAGCAGGTAAAGGTGCTTCTTGCTAAGGCTGACAGCCTGAGTTCAATCCCCAGACCCATATAATGGAAGGAGAAAACTGACTCCTGCAGGTTGTCCTCCGTATGCTATGACATGTACACCCTGCCCCCCTCCACAATAAATAAATGTAATTTAAACATATTTAAGTACCTAAGGCATCTTACACCTGCCTCTGCAGCTTAATTTTCCTCACATGCCAGCCCAGAGCTTCAGTCACATGAAGTACAGATGTCCTTGACTCGGTATCACTTCATACTTTGTGGATATATGCTGTCCCTCATATTTAGAATGCTTTTCCTTCACTTTGAAAAGCTCTTTGTCTACATTTCAGATCAAGCTTTAACATTACCTCTTTCATGGAATCTTTTCCTTTTTAAAAAATTATGTATATGTGTATGTATCTTTGTGCTTATTGCCACATGTGTGTGGGTACCCTCAAGAGTCCAGAAGAGAGTGTCAAATCCCCTTGGAGCTGGAATTATAGGTGGTTATGAGATGCCTGACATAGGTGCTGGTAACAAACTTGGGTCCTCTCAAAGAGCAGCAAGCACTTGTAACCTTTAGCATCTCTCCAGCCCCTCAGAGTCTTCTTGCTGTTGCTCTTGGTCAGGTCACTTTTAAGATTCAAATTATCTTTATACATTTACTTTATGGCATTTGGATTCTATTTATGTATTATCTTCCCTCAAATGGGGTAAATTATTGAAGCATTTATTTCATTTATCTTTGAAATGCTAGTATTTATCATGGTGCCTAGTTCATTTAAAGTGCCTCAAAAATAGTTAAGTGTATGAGTTATGCACATGTTAAAAGTGTGCTGGTGCATGCCTTTAATCCCAGCTCTTGGGAGGCAGAGGCAGGTGGATTTCTGTGAGTTCAAGGCCAGCCTGGTCTACATAGTGAGTTCCAGGACAGTTGGGGCTACAGGGAGACTCTGTCTCAAAAAGACTAAAAAAAAAAAAAAGTGTTGCAAAGTAGTAATGCTAGATATTGTACAATTTTTTTCTAAGTTAAGACTTCATCTTTGTTACATGGAAAAGGCCCCCAGGGCTGGAGAGACCTCTCAGTAGTTAAGAGCCTTCTCTTCTTGCAGAGGGCCAGTTTGGTTCCCAACATCCACTTTGGGCAGCTCACAACTGCCTGTAATTCCAGCTCCAGGGAATTTGACAGCCTTTACCGGCCTCCCTGGGCACACACGCAAACACACACATACAGAGAATAAAATAAATCATGGAAGCTGGAGAGATGGTTCAGTAGTTAAGAGCACTTGCTACTCTTGTAGAGGACTGACTTCAGTTTCCAGCACCCACCTGGCACCAATAACCATCTGTAATTTCCGTTTCAGAAGATCCAATGCCCTCTTCTAGCTTCCATGGGCACTACACACAGGGTACACTTGCATACATACAGGCAAAACACTCATACACATAAAAAATAAATAAAATATTTCAAATAAATCGTTAAAAAATTAAGGACCTCCCTCCCCACAAAGAACTGTTATGCAGCTATTGATCTATTGATTTATCAGTATCAGTAAATTTCCTAGTTTACTAAGAAATTTTTTTATTTTTCCCACTTACTTATGGGGGGTGGGGCACATGCCACAGAATGCATATAGGTCAGAGGGTGACTTGTGGGAGTTGGTTCCCTCCTTCTACCATGTGAGTCCCGGGGATAGAACTCAGGTCTTCAAGCTTTGGCAGCAAGCACCTTTACCTGCTGAGTCATCTCACCTACCAGAGATATTTTTTAAATGTCAGTATAGGAAAACAGTAGAAAACCTATCTTGCATTAACAAATAATGCTCTGATGTAAATAATCATCCTTCTCAAGAAAATGAAAGTGGCACCACTTTATAATTTGGGAAATCTTTTAGTATCTAGTTTAATAAAATAGCCTGATTTTCATACCTGTCTTTATTTCAGTTCAGTTACATTCTTTTGGTTAAAGTCTATAAAAAAAATCTAGCTTCCTGCAGATAGGTAATAATTGTAAAAGAGAATTTTAATAGTCTTTCCTGAAAATAATGGCTATTCTTTAATACTGAACTGAAATTTGAAAAGTGATAGTTTCTTAGTTGCAGTGTGGAATCTGAAACTGTAGTGAACTTTTTATACCCTGACACATTAAAATCCATTGATATATTTTATATTGTACTTGGAATTCATCTTATAGTGAAGCATAATTGTAAGACATCTTGTATTGGTCATTTGGAACATAGTGTTTCACAGAGTGATGTAGAACCTACAAGGGTTAGCTCACTTTTCTTATACATTGTCAAGAATTTCTGTTCACTAGTGTCATTGCAAATCTCATCAGAAACATCTAGTAAGTGCTGGGAAACTGTTAGACTTGTGGTGGCAAAGATACGTTTCCAAAATTGTATTTTCATTTCAGCGCTTAACTACTGTCACCACCAATTCTTAGTTGTAGCTGCTGTTGTTTGAGGCTGGTTAATTGCCATGGGTGGGGCACTGCCTCTAGGTTGGAGGATGTTAAAAGGATTGCTGGTTTCTTGGTAGCATCCTCCTCATTTCATTTATAAGAGCCGAAGATTACTCCAAACATGGCCAGTTGCCATCTGAGATCAGAAGAGCTCACAGCTGAGAAATACTCAGCTAATCAACACTATTAACTTGCAGGCACAATTAATTGTTCATGTTAAGAAAATGCCACCAAAAATCCAGAATAGCCATTGATTCTCTCACAGTTGTTTCAGCAAAGCCTTTCTTGTGGTTTCCAAATATTAGGCACCTATAATTCTCATCATTCACATGATTTCAGGTTTGTATTGCCCTCATAGATTACTAATTTTTTTATGTGTATGTGTGTTTTTGTCTGCATATATGTAAGTGTTCCACATGCATGTCCAGTCTGGTGGAGGCCTGAAGAGAGTGTCAGATCCCTTGGAACTGGGATTACAGATTGTGTGAGTCACCACGTGTGCTGAGCGCCAAACCCAAGTATTCTACAAGAGCAGTTAGCACTGCTGAGCCATCTCTCTAGTCCCCAGTCATACCAAACATTTTCATTACTTTTTTTTCAAACTGAACAACACAGAGGTTCGACCTATAAGAAGGAGCAATATGTGCTCTAAGTAAAAATCCAAAGGAAACCAGTTTTTATTTCAAAAAAGTGAGTGAAATGAAAATCCACATTAGATTTTTCTATGGGGAGATCATTGAGGACCTTAGAAGAAGGGGATTAAGTGGAATCCAAAGGGTTCAACATGAGTAACTTGAGAAATGAGAGAGGTAAACTGCTTTTGAGACAGAAGTGTGATTTTGAAAGAGACTTAGATGACCGATATCCAGTCATGCTCATGTCTGAAACAGCAAAAAAGGCAAAGAACACAAGAAATAGGGTAGGGACAGGGGACCTTGATGATGTAAGATCTCAGGAAGGGGTAAAAATGCCAGCCTGGTCTACATAGTAAGTTCCAGGACAGCTGAGGCTACAGAGAGACCTTGTCTCAAAAAGACCAAAAAAAAAAAAAGGCATTGAGAAACCGAGGGACATACCTCTACATAAGATGGGAAAGCTACAGGATGTTTCACTTGGCTCACCAAATATTTCTTTAGAAATGGGAGAATTTCTGTTATATGCTAAGATCTGAAACACTTGATGTGCAACCAGTTTGATTATTCATAGGTTTGCTGTGTTGTTGCTATTTTCCTTGACATCTTCCCCACTACTGGACATTTGGGTTCTTTAAGTTGACAGGTCAGAAATACTTGCCTGTTGCCGGGTGTGGTGGCGCACTCCTTTAATCCCAGCACTTGGAGGCAGAGGCAGTCAGATCTTTGTGAGTTCAAGGCCAGCCTGGTCTACAAAGTGAGTTCCAGGCCAGCTGGAGCTACAGGAAGACCCTATCTCAAAAAGACCAAAAAAGAAACACTTGCCCAAAAGATTAGAAGGATACATAAAGAAGGCAAA